TTTACTGACAGAAACATGCCTCATGTTTTTATGGTAGCTTACCCTTAAGCAGTCACATTTTGCTCTATTTTCAACTGGTAGAGAATGCTTATTAGTACATTATTCGCTATTTTTATTTTTATTTTATCTGCCTTCAAAGGAATATTAAAACATTAAGGAAAGTTATAAGTATCTACCATTTATTTTATGTATTTATTTATCATTTTAACCTACTTTTTAAATTAAGGATAACGTATAATCAGAACATTATTTATCCTTACATAACGTTACATAACCAAATGGATTAAGTCGGCCATTTGTAGCTCGTAACACTACTAGAATCCCTAATGAGCTAACGAGCTAGCTACTAACTCTTTGGAACGTAAGTAGCTCATCTAGGCCGGTTAGTTATGATTACGTGACTATCGTTTTATTTTGTAATTCGAATATTTTCTTTTTAATTGTCCCAAAATTCGAATTTATTTTTTTATATGGCGTTGCCAGCCAGTGTCAAGAGAAAAAATATTTCGAAGAATAGAAAATACTTTTTTATCGACTTTAAGAAAAGGAAGAGGTTCAAATTGTTTTTTTTTTTTCAAGTCCACCAAGTCTTGTCTTACGGCCAACTTAATTTCGAACTCCTCCTATGTTCTTCTGATTAATTTCGTTGCAGGTTGGATTGGATTTTTATTGGCGGTCAAGCTGTAGATCCTGGCTACACAGGAGTTGTAGCGGTGGGAACGAGAGCCGGGAATAATTATTTCAATTTTCTTTCACCGATAGAAACCGGTCCACCACCTTGTTGGTTCAAAAAATCCTTATCAAAAAAATTCAAAACTAGATCCGATCGAATTCAAATTAAGAACAGTTACAAAATAACAGTTTTTATTGTTTTTGCAACATAACGGATGCGTGTAACTGGCCATCAATTAAATTAAAACTCGGATGCAGAACTCGTTCTTTCGAATTTCGTTCACCTTAAACTTTTTTGGCGGGCCACGGCCATTTTTAAAATAAAGGCATTCCTGTCTCAACGCTTTGGGCCTTCACGCCAGTTTGGAGATGTACTAAATTGGTGGTTTTTATTGTTCTTTTGTTTTTTTTGTATAATGGCCGACCTAGAACATCCTTTGCGAAATGGGGAAGGTTATGTTGCAATTCACGAAGGCGAGTGAGCTTTACATGTGTGGTGGCTCGCTATTGTTCGTTTTTCAAATGTTTTGACAGACATTACACTATCGTTATGTGCATTTACACGTACACACGCAAGTAAACCTCACTCGCCTTCGTGAGTTGCAAGAGCTAGGTATACATACTTATAGCCTGCGATTTGATTATGAATGTTTTATGATTTAGGTTTTCTAAACGTCTCTTTTTAATCTGAAAAGCGTGATGTATATTTTCTCATATAAACTACTGGATTGATTTTAGAAGAACTTAAAAAATATATAAATGTACCGATTCTTTAACCGACAAAAAAAAGTAGGGATTGCTTAATAAGAGACATTTTTTCGTGTTCTTTTTAAGTCAGAAACGTCTTTAACTGAACCAGAAACAATTTGATTTTTTTAAGAACAATCTTAACTGAACCAGACATAATGTATTTTTTTAATTGAAAGGATAAGATCCCAGATCAATTTATTATTTGATAAAAATTTAACTTTTTGGTCTTAATTAAAGATTTTTTTAAACTTTTATTCTGTTTACTGCAGACGAAGATTGCTTAGGTAATTTGTAAGTATGTGAGTATACATTATAGGACAGTTGCAAGCATTGCAACGCACGGATATTTAGCAACGCTCATGCCTGCAATTGCGATCGCAACGGATAAGATAATGGCGTCCGTACTCGGCAATGTGGAGAAATTATTTTTATATGGCAACAAAAACACATCATGTGTTGCATAATTTACAAAATACACCCTGTATATAGGCGATAAGCCCATACATTTATCGACTAAAATAAACGATACTATTTTATCACGGCGCGCCTCCTAACCCTGGTCATTTAGTCTCCACTGCAGGAGCACGTCTCTAATTTACCAGAGGCAAATGGAGGATTTGTCCTACACTCCCCACGCTGGCCAGACGGGTTGGGAAGGCCTGATGTTCGCATATTTGTCCCTTGGTCGCCACTACGACATCCACGGGAAGAGTGGTGGTTCTATCCACTTGGAACTACATAGAAAGTTAAAATACTCAATGTATCTCTTTTAAAACGTGTTAAAAAGAAAGCATAACGTGCTTGTTACACGCTAAATAAAAAGAAAGAGCGTGCGTTTATTAAAATTGACCATTAAATGAATTGGAAAAACAAGAAATGACATAACTATTTATGTAACAATTTTTCGTGGTTTACAGTCATTGTAAATTAAATCAATTAGGTAATTAAAAAAATATAATTTAATCAATCCTTTGTTGTAGGTATAATTAGAACGTATTAACTTATACGCAATTATCTTTTTTTTCGTCTTTTTTCATTTAGACATAATAATTTAGTTATATAATTATTTTTTTCACACGTCATTTGACTCGATTACTTTCCGGTAAGTGATGAATCAACTTTAATTTTGATGTGAATTAAATGAAGAATGTGAGATGTTTTCACTTTCATTATACTTTCACAATATTAATCACACTGAAGTTAAGAATCTATATTTTTTTCAACAGTTTAGCAGTGACTAACTTTTTTGCAGTTGTTTTGTCTCGAAGCGTTGATTTCGTCAAAAACGTTTTTAACTGAGACTGAGTCTCCATTTCTCCATTCGAAATTATTAAGTTTTATATCTGTCTGTTATTGTTTGTTTTGTTTACTAAAATACTGGCCTAATATTTTCAATTTGTGGCCAATAAGCCAAGGGTCATGGCTATAACCTGAAAAATGACAGATTCAGTCAATCCTGAAAAACAAAATGGAGTCAGGCTGTTTCGCGCTATTTTTCTTATGGTGATTTAATGAACTAGTTTTCTTTATTGAATGTATTTTAGAATTAACAGGTACTAATTAAATGATTCATAGCTCTAACTCTACACTAATAATTAACATAAAGACTTCTAAGCTATAATAGTACATAAATACATAATATAGGTACCTAATTGGTCACCTGTTTAAACATGTCGTGGTTTTCCGTAATCGGTAATCTATAACAAGTTCTAACTTAATTTGCATTGTCGTTATAATTTTCCATGCAGCCATGTTTTACTTAGCTGTGGAGAGGAGGGTTATGTTTTCAATGTTGGTGAACAAATAAATAAATAAATGCATGTTCTATCAGGAGACATGTTAAATCGGACTGTTTGAGCCATTTCTTGTGCCTTAAAGTCTGACATAGGGTATCCATAATTTGTCATAGTCCATGATGAATCTGATCAAATAATTTAATATCATCATCATCACCATTTCAGCCACAGGACGTCCACTGCTGGACTATAAGCCTCCTCCACTATAGTGGAGGGTTTGCCATAATCTCCACGCTTGGCAGGCGGGTTGGAGATCGCAGTTTAAAAGATTGATGTTTTTCAGAGAGCGCTGCTGGTGCCCTGGAGTCGTGTGGTGACGGCAGAGTAGAATACATTTGTCACCAACCCCTACTCTTCCCACGGGTGTGTCGTAAGAGGCGACTTAGGGACTACACATCAAACAAAGATGATAATATACTTTAATTAAATCATTGGGGGAGGCCTTTGTCCAGCAGTGGGCGTCATTTGGCTGAAACGAGGCACTATTAAATCCTAGTCATAATCGTGCCTAGAAACCAGTTAGCCAAGGATTTAGATTCTAGATTTATACTGAACAAAACGTTCTTGCAATCACCCACTCGTACAATTCATTCGTTACGTAAGCTTTTAGTTCTATACAAGAACTTTGTATCCTTTCAAGTATAGTTCTTGCAACTCACAGTGTGTACGTGTACATGCACATAACGATAGTGTAATGTCTGCTAAACTTTTGAAAAGCCACCACACATGTAAAGCTCACTCGCCTTCGTGAATTGTTACAACTATACTTCTTTGGTAAATATTGATGTTTGCATATTTTTTTGCTTGTTTGATAAAAAGGCTGTACAGATTCCGATTAAATCCAAAAGTAAAAAAAAAAAATAACGAAATATTTTTTTTTAAATTAAGTTTAGCTTACAAAGCTTTATTAGTCTTTTTAAGGACTTTTTTTACAAGTTTCCATAATTAATAAGTAATTTTGAAAAATGTAAGTACTATTATTTTTAATAGTGTTAAATAAAAAGTACTAAATAACATTACGTGAGCACCTAACTAAATAATTCTGAAATGCGGCAAAACTAACAATAAAATTCAATAACTAAATAAAAGTTATGTTAATTCTTTAGTGTAATTAATTATTACGTACTACCTAGTAACTATTTGTTTCACAATACTCGTAATAACGTGTAAGAATTCTTAATTAATCTATAATTATCACGCAAACGAATAAATTTGTTAAGATTTTAGTGTTAATTATTGAATTTGTTAACAACTTTTTGTTGAATAAGTCGCTAAAATGCTGACTCTATTTGTTTTTGATTTGCATTTATTAATTAACAATGACAAAACTGTTTTTTTGTTAATCACGGAACAGCTACTTTTTAGTTGATTTTGTATGCGGTTATAAAAACATTCACTAGAATTTTTTGGTTCCTAATTTTTTATGAAATTTCATATTGCCTAAATTATAACAATATTTCTGCTCTGAAACTTTTTAGTAACGTACAACTATTTTGAAATGTCTTGTAATGCTTTTAATCTTAATTAAGTGCAGGATATTAGCAAATTATCAATTACTAAATACTTAATTAACTGATTTAACAAATGAGTGATTTCTTGTTAATTAGGTCCAAGGCAGCCATTGATCGTTAATTGTTTATTTTTAATTAAAAAGGAGTTTTTATTCTTTTTTAAAAGAGGTGTCATCAAAACCTAGTTATACGAAAAAAGTTTATGAACTTCCCTAAAAAATGGGTTCTTTTTTTCCTTAAAATTAAAAAGGAGGCCGAAAATATCACTGACCTCTTAGCACGTCAGCGGGGATCAGCCTCCTGAAGGTCTTCGGTCTTTCCTCTTCTTTCTCCTCAGCCGCGAAAGCGAGAGAGAAAATCGCGAGCACCACCAAAAACTTCATGTTTCAAACGCTTTGATTCCCCCCAAAAAAAAACGTCAGCGAAACGTCAAAATTGGCGCGCTTTTTGACACCTCCCGAGTGCCTCCTCTGTGGTTTGTTGAGCGACTGAGTTACGCGATCGTGTGCCCATCGGATTTATTTGGAATTATTGTATGGTGGGAGTTAGAGGGGACGCACACGTTCGATGTAAAACGAATACTTTGTTTGTCTGTTTGTGAAGCTGAAATATTGTTTGTCATCATAGTTTTATTAAATAGTATTTGAGTTTATTCTTGCCATCTAATTAGATACTGCTTTTATTGTAGTGGTGAAATAAAATTATAGCTAACGTGACAGCTTGAAAGTTATGAATATCCAATTTGATAGTTTGTGAACCTAAAAGTTAATCGAATTCAGTTCAGCATTTTAATTAGTTTGCTGCATAAATGTCAACTTCCTAGAAACAGATCGATAAAAAAGACTCTATTGACTTTTTTATTAGATAGGTACTTAATACAGGGTGTTATTTTCAGGATACATTTTACTGGTTATATGTGGCAGTTAAAAAATCTTATTACATAGTTTGAATTTTCATCGAAATCAAGCGTATTTCGAGAATTTTACGATATTTTCTATACTTTCGTCTCTACTCTAAGGAAATATTTGATTGTTTATATTAATTACTTAGGCTCCGAAACTATTAGCCCTATTTGAAAAAATATTTCACCATTTCTGATGAACTTTAGCAGTAGGTACGAAGTTCGCCGGGCCAGCTTGTAGTTTATTAAATACGTTGTAACCAACCTGTGTAGGTAACCAACCCTAATGCGCATTCATCATCATCATCATCATTTCAGCCACAGGACGTCCACTGCTGAGCATAGGCTACCCCAAGGATTTCGCCCGGTTAGCAACGGCCTGCATCCAGCGCCTTCCTGCTACCTTTATGATTCGCATGCGCGTATTTTATTTCATTTTAAATTAGGTCAAACTAAAAATTCACCCTGTATATTCTTGCCAAATTAACCTTTAAATAATGACACATTGTGCTAAATTTTGAATGTTATAAAGTTGAAGGATTGCACTTAGCTACTTATCTGAATGTCCAATCTGGTCTTCAGTTAGTAACAGAATGTGAGTGTTAAAATAAAACAAAATGGAAGTTGAAAGAGCATCATTATAACAAACCTTTTTGTTTTAAAGAGGAGGTATTAAGTATTTATTTAGTAACTAGCAGCCGCCCGCCACTTCGTACGCGTGGAAACTTCCAACCCCCGTTTTGCCCTTTTCGTAAAATCCCCTCTTAGTGAGCACCTTCGCCCTAAAAGGAACCCCCATGCAAAATTTGAGACTCTTAGCACTGATAGTTTCTGAGATTTCGTGATGAGTGAGTCAGTCAGTGACCTTCTGTGCCCGCGACTTCGTACGCGTGAAAATCGTATGAATTTTTCCCGTTTTCGCTAAAAAAATCCTGACAGTTCCTGAGATTAGCGCGTTCAAACTTGAGACCTAGGCATTCAAATCTCAGTCTAGGTTATTGTATTCTTGACTGAAACTTGATTCGTCGAACACAAGAACTGAAGGCCATCAGGTCGCTTCAGATTACAAAGCTGTCGCGGGTTTGACTCCCACAAGGTTCACACAAGTGTGTATAAGTTGCATTAAGGGGGTCCTGCACAGAATCCTTAAAATTGACATATTTTTAAATCACGAGTGCTCTGCGAATAATGGCTTAAATACATCAAAGGAACTTGTGTAGGGTAGCCCAATCCTTGATCTAGGTCGCCGCCTTTTCGAAATTTTAAATAAATACGTAAAAAATTAAAAAACAACATTTAAAATGGAGACGTATGGAAATTTTATTTCTTCGAGAACTTTGTTAATTTAACGTATGAAGCAATAATTCTTATATGGAAATGTTCAAATAAATATTTTGAAGGTCGCCCCCTTTGTCGTTTTTGGTATTAATGCATTGATGTTGAGATTTTTTGATTTTCCAAAAAAAACTTTGCCGTGAAGAAATCAACAGGCGTTTTGCTTTATCGTAGCTGTCAAGTGTCAAATGTCNGCACCCCCTTAAGGATTTGTCACATTGATTGCGTTCTGCGGTCTGCGGTCAGGAACCCGATTGCACTAATTTGTAATGTCTCCATTACATTTGCGTTGCATCTCTAGTCCACACTCCTGTTACGTTCCATTTCATTCCAGCTGAAGTGCAATTTAGTATCGCGGTAAAGTTCACGCACAAACAAAGACAAAACAACGGATTTATGCATTTTCCATAAAATTCCGAACATCTTATTTTTTAAACCAGTCTTTCCCAAAGTGGGCGATAACGCCCCCTTGTGGGCGCTGCAGGCTTAAAGGGGGGCGCACGCTGGTTCAAGAAATGATAAAAATGGAATTAGCGATTTATTCACTTTTTTCGATGGTATCATGTGTAGAATGTCATAAAAAACGTTTTGTTTAAGTTATATTTTTCTGAGAAATGCGTAGTTTTTGCTATATTTCATGTTTTGTGTTTTATTTGTATGAAACGTTTCCTTCACGAGGCTCTTATTCAAAATGTTAAAGTTTGTTAGATATGACTACTTATAGGTTTTAAAGAGTCATACTAATAGAAGCTAATACAGTAACAACTTTGTCCCAGTGCGTCCCCGTTTAGGATATAAGTGATATTTTCTAAGGTACGAAAAAGTAAACAAAATATATGGATTTATGGCAATTTTATGATAATTTATTGATTTTCTAAAATAAAAAGAAGCTAACAATCATTCCAATCTTAATCATTTATTATTCAACATCATCATCAACATCTATAAATTCAAAAGTTTCATCATTATTTGAAGCTAGTAAATTTTTAACTTCATTAGGAAGAGGAGATTTTGACTCACATTCATTTTTGGTCTAATTGTTGACAAAAAAGGATCCGTAGAAATAAGTAAATTATTTAAAATATCACGATTGGTCACTTTTCGGTTAAATTTACGCGTATGATATTATTATTATTATTATGTTTGTACGCTTTGGAGCTCACGGGTCAAAAGTGGCCCGGTCCTTTATAAGGCTTGCGTGGGGATACAGATCCAACACGTAGAGGCCGTTTTAAGCGCAAAATAATCGACAAAAGTGAAAGTGGTGCACATGCTGGATCTAGTCTCACTTCCACCCCTGGAGCATATAGCTCTAGCGACTCCACTCTGGCCGGCCGGTTAAGGCAAGCCAGAGGTGAAAGTCCTGCAGACCCTCTCGGATTCCACTTCGGCAAGCCGAAGACGAGGGTCTTGACCGACTCTCGGGAGCACTCGGATTAACAACTGGCCCCGTGGTGTCGCTACTCACCAACAGCTCGCCACAAAGCTGCCTTAATTATTATTATTATTATTATTATTATTATTATTATTATTCTGTTTGTACGCTTTGGAGCTCACGGGTCAAAAGTGGCCCGGTCCTTTATAAGGCTTGCGTGGGGATACAGATCCAACACGTAGAGGCCGTTTTAAGCGCAAAATAATCGACAAAAATGAAAGTGGTGCACATGCTGGATCTAGTCTCTGACTATATCATTATTATTATTATTATTATTATTTATATTTTCTTCTTAAAAATTCTCGGAACTGGTTGTTCCGGTATTGAAAGAAAACCTCACGGGTTGTTAACCAAGTGATGGTCCTCTTGTAGGAATCGCCGTACAATTCGGCACGTATTGAGAATTGCAGCTTTCTGCATATTGTAAAAGGTATTAGTCGGTAGGTCTAACGTATTTAAACTATTTTTCAGTTGTTGAGGTATGACCCCTGTGCTAGAGAGCACAAGCGGTACAATTATTACTTTAGTTTGGTTCCATAGTCTTATTATTTCTTGCTTTAAATCAGTATATTTAGTCATTTTTTCTGTAATTGTTTTGTTTATATTGTGGCTATTGGGTATGGAAATGTCTATGATGTAGGTTGTTTTGTTCTTTTTGTCAGTTAATATGATATCCGGTTTATTGAAATGTATAGTTTTATCTGTAAGAATTGCTCTATCGAAATAATTTTGTGATTGGAGTTCTCTAGCACTGGGTTTGGATTATATTGGTAGTACGGTACTGATTTTTCTAATAATTTGTGTTTAAGTGCTAACTTTTGGTGTATGACATGAGCTACTTGGTTGTGTCTGTATGTGTAGTCATTTTGCGCTAAGTTAGAACATGCCCCCGTGATGTGCTGTATTGTTTCAGGTGCTTTGCGGCATTTTCTACATAGGTCATTTCTCGCTGTGACGTCTTTCAATATGTGTTTTCTGTAGTTTTTGGTGTTGATGACTTGGTCTTGTATAGCTATGGCAAAACCTTCTGTCTCGGGAAATAAGTAACCCAACTGTAGCCATTTGTTTGATGCTTCTGTATCTATATTTCCCTGTTCGATTTCTTTCAGATGTCTTCCATGCAACTCCTTCTGTCTCCACTTGTCAATTTTATAACCTTCTCTTACTTCGCGCGTTACTGTCGGCCTGTGTTTGTTTTGTAAGTTTAATGGGGTGTAGTGTTTATCAGCTTCTACAATGGATAAATGTAAGTTACTCTCTTCTGCCTTTTGATAGAAATGTTTACGCAAGTTCATTATATTATTAATCCGCACACAATATTCAGCGTAGTAGTAGTAAAAAACAAAAAAGCGGGCAACCCCACCCCTACCACGCCGTGGGCTCGGTGTCCGAGCGGTCTCATTATATTTAGAGAAGAGATGACATTGACGTTTACCTCTAGGGAAGAAGATATAGAAATCTTCGGGTTGGGAGGGACCTTAAATCTCTTCGGCGAAAATAGGATAATTCAGATCGAACTTCACTTGGTAAGTTCGTTTGATCATATAATTATCCTGTTTTCGCCTCCGAGATTTATTTTACCGTGTAGATGTTTAGAGCATGGATCAATGTCCATGTTAAATGGTTAAGAGAGTAAATGTCAATGTACTAAATACATAATCTTCCTAATGAAGTTAAAAATTTACTAGCTTCAAATAATGATGAAACTTTTGAATTTATAGATGTTGATGATGATGTTGAATAATAAATGATTAAGATTGGAATGATTGTTAGCTTCTTTTTATTTTAGAAAATCAACAAATTATCATAAAGTTGCCTCATATCCATATATTTTGT